TGATCAGGTAAAAGTTGTTAGTGTCGATCCCTGCATCGTTGAACGCCCTCATGGCAACCGTGGGCTTGATCTTCGACGGGTTAACATTAGTAGCCATCCCCGAAATGCCACTAATTGACGCCACCCCGTAACGGAGTTCCTCGACAGGATCGACCCTCAATCCATCATCCTCGTCATCGAGGAGAATCAGCTCGTCTGGCCGAGAGGTCGAGACTGACCCCTCAACGTACTCTTCGACTTGGCGAAGCAGAGAGTCTCCGCTGTCACCTGAGGACATGCTCGATGATGTAGCTTCCTCAGGGTCTTCCCTGACCCTGGAAGTTGAGACCTTTCGACCTCTAACTCGTTTAGGGGGCATGATCTGAAAACTGGCACAGAATGGGTCGAGGTAAGAACCTAGTGGTCGAGAGGCCAAAAGCAGAATCTGAAAAGGGAGTGCTCAGGACAAAGTGATCTTAGAGCTTGGAACTTCATTACCAGGCCCACACAACCCAGAGATGGGTGTCCAACCCATGAATAAGGAAAAGCTCACCAGGGTCCCCAGGAACCTAGAAGTGATTTTGAGAACCTCAACGTAGTCAATTGAACCCAAATGGGTGCTACCACTACGGGATTCAACCCAGATTAATGCAGCATTATTCAGGTAAGTTCATTTTATAGTTATGTGAACCTTTAAAGTGTTAGTTTTTGCAGGAACCAATTCCGGAATCACACCAATAAGTAAAAGGGTGCTAGAAGACTTACTAGTTCTTGAAGAAAGTCTTAAGACAGAGAAGGGGAATCGTGAATAGGTGGTGCACACGGAAGGAGAAGTCGGAGGTGGTGGCTCCTGGCAAAAATCCGGCAGAGTAACGATGTCCTGAGGAATGGGCAGCCGTAGAACTGTAATTAGGGGCATATATATACCCGAGGGGGGAAGCCCAAGGGTCTGGGAAGTCCCAAACGACACCAGATCTTGACCGTCGAATCTGAACCGACCTCATCCAACGGTGAACCCGAAGAGACACGATCCAACGGCTGGGATAAGAGCGGAAAAAATAAATACGATCGGGCGGTTGCAACTTCCCCCTCGACTGCCACGTGTCGCCAGGGTATGTGGACATGATCGACGAGACTGCTCCACAGCTCGAGGAACTCACTGTAATGATGGCGCAGTACCTACGAGCGACCGCCATAGTCTGCGGGAGGGAATCTTCCACGTGGAACTCTCAACGCCATATAGCCCGAAATATCACGATGTGATATCCCAGGCTAGGGGTAATTGTTACACTATAGTCGAAGAATCGACCGTTGCTCTAGGTGACAAATGCCAGGACTCCCTGTCAAGGACCGGTATGTTGGTCTCCGAATTGAATTCGGATGCGGAAGCGTGGTGCGGGGGGGAGCGGATCGTGTATGACAAAAATTTTCATAAAACTTTTGAGATACTCTATAGATTATATTAATTTATGCACGAATAAATTAATCTCATTAATTCATTTATTAAGAACTCAATTAGGAAAAATACCTGGAGGCCGACTCGGCTGATAACTTGAGTTCTTTGACCTCGAACAATCCTTGCTCCAAAGCTTTGTGTTTAGAAAACCAATGTCTTCCATGTCAATTCCTAGAATCCACGAAGATGTGTGTGTGGGCACACATGAGACAAAACGGGTTACAATAAACACTCAAATTTCCACAAACTCCAACGCATGCACGATGTGGAATTTTTAGAGAAAATTTTTTCCTTTCTCTATGTGTTGAGAATTTCGGCCAGCCTTAACAATTAGGGCTGAAAAATTGTTTCAAAAATTGTCTTCACAATAATTTCGGCTGCCTCTAAAATTAGGGCAAAAAACCATTCCGAAAATTGTCTCAAAAATAGTATTTATAGAGTAGAAGTCAAACTTCTAGAAGGAATCCAATCTCTATCTCTAAGATAAAGCTTGTTAATTATCTCCTATTTGAATTTTTAAACCAAATCTCCTCTTTTCCTCTATCCTATATGGCCGGCCATTCTAAGGGGATTCTCATCCCTGTGTGGCGCCAATATCAGATAGGGAAGGAAGAGAAAATCATCCTTTATCCTGTAGTCCAATTTTTACTCAAATTCAAATTCCAATTTAAGTCAAACTTAAATTAATTTGAATTTCTAAATTGAACAACTTATCAAATAAGTTTAAATGGATAAATCTAGATGTGTTCAAATTCAAATTTAAATAATCACATTATTTACATAATAATTAATTCTCAATTAATTATTTTTTTGAGTATTTAATTTTAGAATTCTGTAATTCTAAAATTCCCATTTTGCCCTCTGTGTCTGGCAGAATTACTAGGACGATGCGGGGACTAATGGACCTATAATCCCGTGCTCCAATAAAATTAATAATCAATTAAACACTTTAATTAATTAATTAATTCTATTAATTCTAATAGTTACTCCACTATAAACTTGGAATTGCACTCTCGAAATTATAGATATTAATTACTTCTAAACTGTGAAGTGTCCATTTGATATAGTCATTGCATATAGATCAATCTTCCATAAATAATTCATAATTAGAGCAAGGTAAAATCCGTTAACCTCTCTAATTACTTCTTTATCCTTGAGTACCATTGGTTCTCTAATGGACAGTGATTCATAAAACACATTCATGAATCGGAGCTCCTCCTGGTCCAAGTACCGAATCAACCCTCAAGAGAATTATTTATCTACTTCTTTCTTAAGAAGGAATGGATTCCATCTCGTGTAATAACATTCCCGGCTACCTACTTCATCATGTCTTCAAAATACAAGGAATAGGATTCAGGATCTCAGAATCTGTACCGAGTAAATCAAAAGACACAAATCCATAAATAGGAGTCTGTTAAGAACTCAGGATTAAGATCATCCTATATATGACCATCGGTAGACTCAATTAGAATTTCTATACTTAACGGAATTATTAGAAATTCATATTGTGTCTGTGTCCTTGTTTCACATAATCTCATTATATGAAATACACTCATTCAATATCTCACCATATTAACAGTGCAGATAACACTGTTCCATTCTAAATGGGAATGACATGTATTAATAATGTTTTAATTAAAGATTCCGAACTTTAATTAAATTCATTATGAACATTGCTTTTTGATTATTATCCTTAAACATAATCCTCTCGTATATAACACTTATATACAATGTTTAAGGTTACATAAATAACCATGGAATTTTTATTGATATTCATAAAATATTCATAAATATATGCACATAAAATAATGAATAAACTTTTTTATTAAATAAATAATAAAAATCCTATTACATCTTATGCTTCTAGGACACCATTCCTAACACGGTCGCTGATGCCGAGGGAATCAATGTGTCTAGAGTGCCCTTTAGTCGTCGAGAAGTCGCGTACGCTGACACGTGTCGAGGGCCCAGCCCATGTGGTGAGGCCCCGACGCCAAGACATCAGTCCGGTCAAATCCGCTGTCAGTTCAGGGAAAGATACACTGTATCAACAATCGCCACTGTTGAGGTCAGGAAATCAGGTATTGGGTAAGAGTGGTTAGCCTGACCGAGAAGTAGTAATCATGGAAATCTAGCTGCCAAATCCCCAAATTAAAGGGTAGAGAATGATCTCCTCGGAAAATGCAAGGGGTCTCTCACATGTATAAAGCCTATAAATAGAGCTATGGGATTTTCATTGAGTTTTTTTAACACTCTCACTTCCAGACTACTACAGAACTTGTAATCTACAATATATTAGTGCATGCACAAGTGGATTAGGCAAAGAATTTTAGCCGAACCACTATAAACTCTTGTCTCCTTTGTTTTATTCCGTGTCATTAACACCTAATTAATACGTGAGAGATTACTGCGAGTGCTTTCGGAGAGTTAATTCCTTGTTGACTGAAATCGGCCATCAACACTTATATTTCTTAAGTCATAGGTATTAACCAAATTTGGGTGTAAAGGCTCCATTTAACCGTAGAGTAAGATCAAACTGTCCACATAGCCATATTGATACGGCTTCAGTGTGTGTGGATTTTCTTTGTTTTCTTTTTTTCTCAAACGGAAATTGATTTTTTTATGGGCAAAAATCCTAAGCCATGTTTGAAATTGATCCCGTTTTTATTTTTTACGTTTTTTGAGAAAGAAAAAATGAAAACGTTCTCAAAATGGCGTTTGACACAATAAAGATGAAAAACGAAAATGAAAATGATTTCTTAGTTTAGTGTAAAATGAGAGAGAAATGAAAAATGATTTTTAGTCGTTTTTCATTTTCTCCTCTCTCGAGTAGAGAGAGAGAAAAAAAGAGACATTAATGAGTTTTTTTACATTGAAAATAATCTTTTAATAAAATTATCAAACGCATTTTTAAAAATAATTTTTATCTGAGATTGAAAATGTTTTCATTTTTATTTTTATACAAAAAATAAAATCATTTTAAAATAAATTTTAAACGCACCTAAAATTTTGTTTCAAAGTATTTCCAATTATCTGAATAAGAATCTTCCTTTAAAAAAAAATAATTAAAAAAAAGGAGCTCTGGTCATTGCAAAGTGCCAGGGTTACTTAAAACGACACGTCGCTTATTACTTAAATGCAGTACTAGTAAACGACGCGTCTCTTATTTGATCTCGTTCAATCATCATACGACATGAAAATATTGTCGTTTATCTTGTAAAATTCGATGTCGTTTGTTGAACATTAAGTATCGCTTTCTTAAAAATATATATTGCCGTTGATAAATAAACAGCAAGTTGCTTTTCATTCCAATTGCAAAAGGCAAAACGACAAGTTCTTCTTTTTAAATAAAATAAAAATTACATGCCGTCAGAGTGGTTTTTTAAGTTTGCCCACTTTTATAACAATAAAAAACTTGTCGTTTGGCGATATTTCAATGTCTTTTTAGCACAGACCGACATGTCGTATTTCAGCATAAAATTTGTGTCGTCTTCCAAAACACTTAGTCGTTTATATATTTTCTGTATATGAATGAATATCCCTCTCTCAACCGAGGGAAGCCGCCGACCTTCCATCATCCATCCTATTGAAGGAAGTCCCGTTATTTAGTTTCTGCAAACCCTAATTCAAGGTGAAAATTTTCAATTTCTTCACGAAATATTCTTCTGGGACTCCATTCAAGTCTTCGTCGTATTGGACCAAACCCTAATGGGCAGGCCATCATCAATAATCGAAGTTCCCCATAGACGACGCCGTTCTGACAACGGACACGCAACCGACTCGGACGGATCCGGCGATTACCGGCGTCGCCGGCGCAGCCCCAGCTATGACAGATATGACCGAGACAACCACCGCCGCCGTGACCGCTGGGAGTCTCCCGAGTATGCAAACCCTAGACGAAGCCCTATGCCCAACGGTGGTTCCGACGGTTTGCCTAAAAGGTTCGGGCGCGACGGGGACCGTGGGGGAAGGAGCTTGCCGCACAGAAATGGAAGACTATCGGAGTCTGAGGAGTCCGATGAGGAGCTGAAGGGGCTGAACTACGAGGAGTATAGGAGGCTTAAGAGGCAAAAGATGAGGAAGATGTTGAAACAGTGCATTTGGAATGTCACGCCGAGCCCGCCGAGGGAGGAGAATGAGGAACTGGAATCGGAGGACAAGATTGATGAGATTCCGGACAAGAGAACGGGAGAGAAGAGTGATTCGAGCGATAAAGAGAGATCGAAAGAGAAATCGAAGTCGGAATCCGAGTCTGAGAGATCGCGGAGTATTGAATCTGATTCCGGATCCGAGTCCGAGTCAGAATCTGATGATTCAAGGTCGAGGAAGAGGAGGAAGAGTTCGAAGCGGAGGAGTAGAAGATCGTCACATAGTGATAGCGAATCGGAGGGCGAGAGCGAGACTATTTCTGATGAGGAAGATGATCGAAGGCGGAGAAAGAAATCAAGCAGTAGAAGAAGCAGGCGACGTAAGAGCAGCAGAAAAAGTAGTAAGAGAAAAAGGAGCCAGAAGAAGAGTAGGCGCAGCGGTTCCGATTCCGACTCGGAAGAAAATGAAAGCGCAGATTCTGATTCCGAAGTCAGTAGGGCATCAGATGATAATGATGTGAAGTTGAAGAAGGAGCGAAAGCGATCGTCGAGATCATCACGATCCAAGCGGAACAAGAAGAAAAGACGGTCTGAGACGGAGAGTGGGAGTTTGGATTCGGAGGCAAATTCGGATGCTGAAGCTGACACCAATGCTAAAACGCTAGTGGAGGAGGTGAACGACAGTAATGTGGAAGCTCTGAAATTTAAGGAAATGATGGAAGCACAGAAGATGCCTGCATTAGATAACGAACCCGTGGTCGGGCCTGCGCCGTTGCCAAGAGCTGAAGGGCATATCAGCTATGGAGGGGCGCTTAGGCCTGGTGAAGGTGATGCCATTGCGCAGTATGTTCAGCAAGGGAAGCGTATTCCCCGTAGAGGAGAAGTGGGTCTTTCTGCTGAGGAGATTCAGAAGTTTGAGAATCTTGGGTATGTAATGAGTGGAAGCAGGCACCAGAGGATGAATGCCATTCGTATCAGAAAGGAAAACCAAGTCTACAGTGCGGAGGACAAGCGAGCGCTCGCGATGTTCAACTACGAAGAGAAGGCTAAGCGTGAGCACAAGGTTATGGCTGATTTGCAGCGGCTAGTCCAGCGCCACATTGGGCAGGATGTTGGTCCTACTCATGATCCTTTTGGTGGGAAGCCCTCCGACGGCGCTGACGCTTGATTCTATAATATTCAGTGCTTTCCAAATCGGTATTTTCTTTATCCCTGTCATTTACGTGAATTTCATTGGGTGATGTTGACGGTTGAGCTGATCATTGTTGTGAATTTCTGTAGCTTGAATGATTTTATGTTTCTTTTGTAGTTTTTACTATGAACTGAATTATGACTTGTCTAGTGCACCAGTTATAGATTTGTGAAGGCCCAACCAAACTAATGATAAAATGTGTAGTCTCTGTTATGAAATTATGCATACTTTGTAAGATAAAAAGATTGTTCCTTCAGACCCTATGCCTCCAGGAAAAGCAAAACGGAAGGTGGTGGTTCTTTTCAAAGACCATTCTGAGTAAATTAAGCAGGGTTTACTACTTAGTAAAATATGCGTATGTGATTTGATTTATGGAATTTACATCTTCGGTTGATACCTTGTTGCCCTCTGTCAGTAAACTTCTCTAAGATAAAAAATTATACAGTAAGTAGCCATGACATTGCAGCGAGACATGAAAATCATCCTTTTCTTGGCAGGTATGAGATATGAAAGAAAATAAAAATTGCATAATCCAGTGCTCATCACTAGTGCCAGTTATAAGCAGAAAATTATCTGTGTTCCTGGTATGAGTGATTGGTGAGAATCATGAGATGGCTGAAACTATATGGCAAGAACTAAGCAGCTCATTTCGTTGTTTCCCTTGGGTATTCTATGAAAATCTGTTTGTTCTGCTTCCAAGCATTGCCGGCTTATGCCATGGTCATAGCTCATGAAGAATGCGGGTATAAGGTTCTGAAAGAGGGATTGTTTAGTGCAAGTGTAGAATGTAAAGGATTAGCGAGAAGCTTTTGGAACCATGATAGCTTTGACCGAAAATATGTGGCATGTTTTAGGCGTCAAGCTTGGTAGTTGGTGGTGTAAGTAATGCAGCCACGTGCACGATATAAGTCTGGATCTCCTTTCTTCTCGATTTTGTCTTTGCTTTTTTATTGGGGTGAGGAGTGAAGGAAGAGATGGATCCTTTTCTTTTGCACAGTTGTTTTAGAATCTACTTTTTCTGTTCTGAAGTTGTGTACATATCAGTAAGTGTGAAGGAACAATCTTAACTTGGGTGGATATATCATGTTTTTAACATCCTCTAGCTCCATTGTTGGGTTTGGCTTTTTTTGGTTTTTTTTTTTTTTTTTTTTTTTTTTTTTTTTTTTTTTTTTTGATAATAGCTCCATTGTTGGGTTGTCTTGCCCCCAATGCAAGGTTTTATTTGGTGTATATGTTCAAGATATTTGAAGATGAGTGCATCGAGGATTTAAAAGCAGGAAGTCTCACTATAGTTTTAGTTTTGCATTCTAGAAGAATCGTCATTGATATACTCCTTACAAAAAGTTTTCATAGTATCAATTAGATGAATTAGATGATGGGAAAACACATTGGTGGAAGAAATATATAATAGTTTGTTTCCATCTCCTGTTGGAGATCCAGTTTCTCTCTCTCCCTCTCTCTCTCTCTCTCCCACAACAAGATTATAGTGGTTGTATAATTGAATTACTTGGTGGAAAATAATAGTATTACGGGTGACGTTTTCAATTGTATGTTGTTTCTGGTCTCAACTCTTTCTCTGACTATTAGTGGTTGCTTAAAAGTTGTTTATATTGTTAAGAAAATAATCTTGCTCTTTGTATTAGTACACATAACTACACTGTTATTTTGTTAAATCATGACCTTTGAAATACAAGCTTTTGAACTACTACTCTTTTCTTAACTTATAGGGAGGGAAAATATTTCGACATGCTTGTGGAAAGTGGGAGTTACTTTTCTGTCTCGACTGGATGATTGGTCTTGCAGAGACTTTGGCCATGGAACCGAGTTTTTCAGATGATCCTAGCACCTCAACTACTCACTCGAGTACTGCTACTTCAGATGATAACTTTTCTGTATACTTGTTTGCTCAGTATTTTTATTTCCATTTCCATCTCTTCCCTCAACAGTAAAAACTGATTAGTAATTAACCCCTTTTTGACTGTTACAAATGTGTAAATAAACTTTTGTTTTTGGTCCGTCATTCCTCCATATTTTATTGTTATTTTGCTATCCATTTTGCATGGGAAATGAAGGGTGTGTTTGGAATTGTCTTTACAACTCTTAAAAAGCACTTTGCACAGAAAATCTATGCAACTATAGTGTTTGGTTAAAAGATTGAAAAAGCATTTTGCACAAAAACCAAGGCACTTTTCAATTTATATGGAGAAGTTGGAATTTATAGGGTCCGTTTACTAGCCTCGTTCATTTCGCTCATTCGAGTTTAGAATTCGAGTTGAGATGTGATTTTATGTGAGAGTTTTTTACTGTAGTAAAAAAATTAGATGTGATTGTTTGTGAGAGCTTTTTACTGTAGAAAAACTCGAATTATAAACTCAAATAAGCGAAGTGAACGGGGCCGTTGATTTGAGTTTATAATTCGAGTTGAGATGTGATTTTATATGAGAGTTTTTTACTGTAGTAAAAAAATTAGATGTGATTGTTTATGAGAGCTTTTTACTGTAGTAAAATTCGAATTCTAAACTCAAATCGGCGAAATGAACGAGGTTTAGTTTTTAGATTTTATTCTAAGTAAAGTAGCAGTGATTCTCTTAAAAGCACAACAATCAAAACTCACCCGAGTACCTGTGAACTCGGTTTTTACTCCAAGTAGGTGTAAGATTTAAGTTACTGAACAATTATTGGGAGTTGAATTGAGTCGGCCTTTTGTGGCCAGCAACTTCTGGCGCAATGGAAATGAAAATGAAGATGGACCGCTATACATTGCTCTCGACGGGAAGTTTGCCCCCAAATCAACAGTGCTCGAGTTTTTTTTTTTTTTTTTTTTTTTTTTTTTTGTGTGTGGCTATTGCAGTGCTCGAGTTCATAACTTGTCATGGTATCTTTTTAAGCCATAATTTGTATTAGTTATTACGAATGATGAATAATTACGCAACACTATTGTTGAAATAAGATGCTTTCTGATGAACCAACTTTTGTACGAGTTAGTTAAAGTTAACTATCACTCTTTAACTGTTGCCTTTTGTTCGTGAGCAAAACCGTGCCTTTTGTTTTCTTTTTCCTTTTGTCTGTCTCTGAGAGAAAACAAGGGTGAGCTAAAAAGGACCATAAAGGGTTGGAGTCCAATTTTGGAGCTTAGAATGTTATGCGAGCATAAGGGAACGATGAACTTGACGTATGGCTACGAGTTATATACCAAGCAGGCAAGCATGAGAATAAACGCGAATGAGCCGATTTCTTACAATGACAATGCAAGGCCATCGGTGGTGTTGACCACCATAAACAGACAGAAGTGGATATCATAGGGTGGTGTTAACCACCACAAACAGATAGAAATGGATAGAAGTGCATATTGTAGTATGGGCTCCACAAATAAAGTTCACTTTCTATATTAGTTTTGGTGCACTAAAATATTATTCTCCTTCTAACAGTGTAGGACGGGTGGTGTTGTCTAGCACGACAAGTTATAAAACTTAGCCGACTTCTAACATAGTCGGGTGGACAAAACATGGCCCATTATGAAACACTCCTTTCTTCACAAAATCTGCAAATGTTAACGTGTTGGGAAGGAAAAAAAAAAAAAAAAAAAAAAAAAAAAAGAAAGAAGAAGATGATGCCGTGTTGTTAATGCCAAAATATCAAGATCGGGTTTCCAAAACATGTGGGTCTATCATCTCATCTGCCCACCTCTCTTTGGAGGAAATGGAGCTATCAGGCACATGGGAGGGAGGGAGATGTATGTAGGTTTCCAAAACAGGCTGAGAAATGACAGGGGTCCAAATATGGGATGCTCAAGCTTTAAATTCACTTTTCTTTCGACCAACAAAAATAAATGGCTCGTTTAGTTTGGTGATTCGAGTTTTTAATTCGAGTTGATATGTGACTTTATGTGAGAGCTTTTTACTATAATAAAAAAATTAGATATTACTGTTTCTGAGAGTTTTTTACTGTAACAAAACTCGAATCGATGAAATGAGCGAAGTTTAATTTGTTGAGGAATGAGGACACGTTGCTAGCTACAACATTACTCTTTTTTTTTTTTTTTTTTTTCTCTTTTTAAAAGCTAAACAAACATTACTCATTTAAGTGGGGGGCAAACCAACAGGGATAAAGTTACCTGTCTTCCATTACTTATAACCCCCTTTCTTTTTTCTTTTTTTTTTTCCTCCATGACGCATGATCTTTGGAGATTTGTAGTATGATAGTGAGAGACAGAAATCCCTTCAATTTCAAGAATTTCAAATGCACAGTAAATTCCCAAAAGTGACGGATTTCCTTTGCACTTTTCACTGTGTGGCCATGGCTTTTAGGCTTAGAGGGTGGTGGACAATAATTCTTCCCGTCTGCAATAAGTATGTTGATACGAGTACAAAAGCCATCGATTTTCCTTGAAGAAACAAAAATCCTATGATTCAATAAAGAAAAAAGTCCTATGAGTACAAGACTATTTTTTTATTTTTTTATTTAAGAGATTTCTGCACTATAAAATACATATTAATAGTGCATGTTTATAAACATTAAATCTAGTAAAAATACATCAAAATAAAAATATAAAAAAAATTATAAAATTAATAATTATTAATACAAATATGATGGTTTAAAAGATAGCATTGGGGTTTTTTTCAAACTCTATCATAGAATTTTCGTTTTATTTATTTTGGTTAAAACTTAGAAGCTTCAAAGACACATTGTTGGTTACACAAATAATATTGCCGGGCCGCGGGAGTTTTCTTCTTTTATTTTCATAATTTATTTTTCCCATGAACAATTATTTGTGTTGATTAATCTAGAATACAAGAGACCAAGTTACAACATAAGTTAATGGTTGACAATGATGGTCCATCCATCTCTTGGGCAGTGGCTGAATTTTTCCATCTTTAGGGGATAAATATCTATGGGTCCTTTGGTAAGGCTGTTGGTAGGGTCAAAACATACCTAATTAAGCTAGTATCATAACTTCATGTTCCATTTTTTCATCAATGATTCCAATTTTCATTTAATTATAATTCCTCATGAAATCGACAACAATTACTAGTATACCAAATTATGACTTATGATAATCAATTATGTTTGTGATATGGAAGCTCTCCGTTAAACAAGATGGTAAATGTCAATGTCTTATGACTTTTATGACCAAACTTTACATGCTTAATTATTAGATTCGATGGTTTATAACTAATCTCATCACCCCTTTTCCCCATAGTCAAGGCATGTTACTCTTTATGTCATTTTATTCAATCTCAATTTGTGGGCAAGTTGAGACCCATTTGCAATCCAACTCAAAACCGCAATCCCAACACTCACCTGCTACTAGATTCTCCAAAATACTTATATATCTTCTCTTGGTGTACATTTGAAGTCCATACTTTGAAGATATTATCTCTATAAATAAATTTTAATGAGCATGGCCTAGCGTCTGAAAATGAGGAAAAAAAAAAAAAAAGTTCCCATTTTTTTTAAAATTCTAAACAGGAAGTGAAAATAAACCGGGAAAAAAAAAATTCTAACAAGAACAACACATATCAAGCCTTGAGGGTCAATAAGATTAAGTTAATTAATGACAAACATGATGTGCATTCAATTAAGTTGTTGCAAGGTGGGGCATCCACTTCCCAATTTGTTAAGGAAAGATGATTTTGCACAATGAAGCATTAATTTTCAGGATATGATGGTCAATTGGGATCCTATCCAAGTAGTTAAAACTTTAGATACAGAAAGGTTTACTCAGTCCTAATAATAAGCTCAATCCCAAATTGTCATGTCATGTGTGGTCCATGTTTTGGCCCACCCTCTAGACATGACAATTCAGCATATGCAAAGACCTTATCATAGTAAATCATTGTTGCTTATAATGACAGCACTATAAAATAAAACGACAAGATTAACCCATTAAGATTTGTCCTTATGGCTCTTTGCCTCTTTACACTTTGTTTTTTAAGTTCTTTTTTAGCAAATCGATGTAAATAAAAAAGAAATTAAAATGAAAAGGCTTACAAAACCCGTGAACTGTAAAAAGACAATCACTGCTGCCTTAAAATGCAATATTCCTGGGGTTCAACTCTCAATATTACAAGTGATGACATAAGTTCAGGAGTTTTTGGTATCCCCAAATACGTAACTAACAAGTGGTATTGGTCAAAGTAAACAGAACCCAAGAAGTTCATATGACCATTTATTCTCAATTTTTAATTAATGCCCTTGCTTAACGGAGCCCAATTTGACGGCTATAAAATTTCACAACAGTTAAAATAATATATATATATATATATGTATAGATATATTTATATATCTTCTTGAACATGCCAAGACAAAGAGAACTTAGATATTGGATTTTTGACCAAGAGTAAGATTTGATTCCAAGAGTAAAACAATACTTGGTGAATTATGTTTGTCTCAATAGGGAGCTGTCTTTGGAAAAGTGAAAATTGATTTTCAAAAGATGGGGTGTTTTTAGGATTCAAGCTTTGAAATATTCAGCTCCAATGGCATGTGTTATGTCAGTTAAAGAGGAGGCCCCATTATGATCCTTTTAATTATGAAAATAAAAAGATTGTCCATGAGAGAGAGAGAGAGAGAGAGAGAGAGAGAAGAGAGAGAGTATAGAGTCGCTTTTAGTTTTTTTTTTTTCTCAATTCTGTATAACGTTAGTATAATACGCCAGCCTTTTCCAGCAAATACCCAATTGTGACTTTTGCCGTTTCTTTTTCATATTTAGTCCTTTCCTCTCATCTCCATGTGATTAGAGCTTTTTTCTACTTCCTTCCCTGCCCATCTCTTGTGTATCCAAATAGTTATTTACTTTCTAAGCTTTTTTTCCTTCCTTTCTTTGTTTCTGAGTCGTTTCTATTTTCAGATTTATCACTCGGAAACAGGCGTTAAAAGTAAAGCAAATCTTGGTTCTGGAGCAAACTGAAGCGTTTATAACACGGGCGTTTGAGTTCCTTTCAATTACATAAGGTAGAGAATCAATAATCGCTTCTCACTATGTATCAGTTTACTATGCCTGCATTCACTTTTTCCTAGGAAACAAACCTCAAAGTTCTCAAAAAAAAGAAGAGTGTTCAGAGAGAGTTAGTTTTTATTTTTATTTTTTATTTTATATAATTTGTGTTTTTTGGTATTGATCATGAGGGATTTTCCTTCTTGTTTTGGGGAAAATGGTATTCAAGTTGCTGATTCCTCATCATCTGGTACTACTGGTAAAAATGCTCAGAACTTGGTCACCTGTGTTTATCAGTGTAAATTAAGGGGTCGTTTATGCTTGATTACCGTTACATGGACCAAGAACCTGATGGGTCAAGGCCTTAGCATTGGGATTGACGATTCGGCCCATCAATGTCTTTGTAAGGTGGATATAAAGCCTTGGTTGTTCTCCAAGAGAAAAGGGTGCAAAAACTTGGAGGTTGATTCTAGCAAAATTGACATGTATTGGGACTTGACCAATGCTAAATTTGGTGCTGGTCCTGAACCATTAGAAGGGTTCTATTTAGCTGTGATTTTCAATGGAGAAATGATTTTACTTCTTGGTGACTTGAAAAGAGAAGCTTATAAGAAGATTGACAATGACGCCGAGCGAGTTCGTTGTTCAAATTCCATATTTGTGGCCAAGAGAGAGCACATCTTTGGGAAGAAGTTCTATGTGGCCAAGGCTCAATTTTGTGACAAGGGTCAGACACATGATGTCGCCATCGAGTGTGACACCGTCGGGCTAAATGATCCGAGCCTTGTGATTCGCATCGATAGTAAACCGGTTATGCAAGTGAAGAGGCTGAAATGGAAGTTCAGAGGGAACAACACCATTTTGGTTGATGGGCTACCTGTGGAAGTCTTTTGGGATGTGCACAATTGGCTCTTTGGCAATAATAATAACATGGGCAATGCAGTTTTCATGTTCCAAACTTCCCTTTCGGCTGAGAAGCTTTGGAGCAACCAATCTGTGTTTGATCCTTCTGTGCTCACCCGGTCTTATTCTCAGCAAATTAAGGATTGCCAAACGCAAGGTCTCGGATTCTCGCTCATATTGTATGCTTGGAAGAATGAATAGACATGTATTTACTTTACTTTTCCTTCTTTATTCAGTTTTGAGTGTTGATGTAAACTTCAGAATGTTGATTTTTGTTAAAAATATGTGATCAATACAGTAGTACATGGTTTTTCCTCAGCATTTCCAAGGTAATTCATAGCTTCAATTTGCTCACTTTTGCATCTCTCGATCTAGTTAATTATCTCAAGCCTTATCTGAATTTCATACACGAAGTAAACTTCAATTTACTAATTACAAAATATGCAGATGCAATTTTTCAGATGAGTTATGCTCCTCCTACGTCAGGCCTATATTCTTGTATTTATCGAAAAGTAAGGGAGGATTCTTGGTTTTTAGTCTTACAAAAATAGCATTCCCGCTTTTGTGAATTGTATTCTAAATTTGTTGACGTTATTCATCGGTTCCATCAGTAAAGAGGAAGCCCCGGTTATTTCCGGCCGAAGAACAAACCAGTTCAGAAAGGAAGGAGACATTTTTATGAAAAATGAACAAGTTTTTTAAATTTATTTGGTTAACTTTGATGTAATGTTAGGACTATAAATTTGTACGGAATATGAAAAGAGGTCTTGCTAACATGGTGACCTTTGGTGAATGCACTTGATTTTGTTTTGTTCTTTAGTGCTTCATGTAGAAACAAAGAAGTTGGGCGACGAAAACAGAAACTTGAAAATCAAATTCAATGAGGATTTCGTCATCCTTTTATTGTTGAATATTGATCAGAAATAGTAGGCATGCTTGGTGTTTGATTTATTGAACGTATTATACGATTTCAAAGTGAGTGTTTTTAATTGTTCACCTTACATTTAGACCCCTTTTTGAAGGAAAGACATGTTCTGTTTGATAATAATTTCTTCTGTAACAAGCACAGATTAATTGACTAAAAAGTGATCATGTGGTCCTTGAGATCACCAACCCGAGTAATCTGACCCTACCCGAGGTCACCCGAAAGGTTACGGGTTTGTAGACTTAAGAGAGTGTCGCGGCCTAAAATTTTCTCAACCCGCACTAATTGGGTACGCTCAATTTTTTAACTCAACCCTACCCTACCCGGCCGATTTACACTCCTAATCTTACCACTGCTTCTAAATAAAATAAAATAAAAAAATATATCAGAAAACTAATATGAACCGATATAACCACCGGTTATAATTATGGTCAGTACCACAAGTCTATGTCAGGTTATCACAAATCACAATAATATTGGTGGTATACTGGTATTAGTGATAGGTTAATAGCACCAAAAAAAATCAAAAAAATAATATTTTTGTTCTAGTTGTAACAAGAATAGAAAAATTATAAGGTTTGATATTGCTAATTTGGTAATACTCTGGATTTTAGAAGATTTTTACACTAAAAAATATTTTAAAAGAGAATTGATGAATTAGTTCCGAAATGTGTTTAAAATAACAAAAATAAGGGATCTTTTTTAGTAGGATAAAAAAAATGAACTTCCGATAGTTTTTTATTTTTAACCGTCAGATTTTTAACTGCATATTTTATATACTTTTTTAATATGATATAATTTTTAATCTGATATAACGGTCAAAACCTGACACTATAGATAAGATTGGTCTACTAGGGAGAAACTCTAAAAATAAACATAAAATAAAAAAGATATAAAAATGTGTATATTATAGATAAATATATAAAACTCCCTATAAAGCTTTTAATTTAGAGTTTTTATGGTAGAATCAGAAATATGAACTATAAGTAATTTTATATTTTTACTGTCAGATCTATATCAAAAAATTTAATATGTTTTTAATAAAATATAACAATAAAAAATTAACCTGTATCTCACTACCAAAAGGAGTCCCTTTTTTTCCTTCCTATCGAGAAAAAATCAAATATTACCTAAGACTTTTAAGTCCAGTGGCATTGAAGAATTTTGAGTAAGGGTTGTGAGTTTTATCCTGTACTGTATAAAAAAAAATCAAATTTTTCCTCACAAAAGAAATTTGTTTTTCTTTTCCAAAAAAAAGAAAAAGAAAAAAAAAGAGGAAATTCTGAGTTGATGTGAGGAGAAGAATAAAAGGCCTAAATTCTCAAAGCCATATGAACACACTAACAAAGACACGTGGCGGAGAACGCCTCGTTCATATCTAAACTCCAAAAGACAAAACTATCTGTCTCTCTCTCTCTCTCTCTGTGTTTGTGTTTGGTAATTGTTGCCCAATTGGTAATTGGTAATCCACTATCCTACCCACCCGCTAAGCTTAGCTATGGATGCTCTCCTCCACAGCCCGTCGTCCATGGCGAAGCGACCTTGCCCTTCCCAAAACCCTAGAATACCCAATCCCAACCACTCCGACACCGACCACCTCTTGCACTCTCTTCTTCGCCACTCCGATTCCTCCCCTCTCTCCGTCGACCTCTCCTTCGACCGCCTTCTCGACTCCTCCGCCTCCGACTCCGATCAGACTCTCCTCATCGATCGCGCTCTCAAATTGGGCTCCGCTCTTCTCGAGGCCGCCAAGCGCTCCGCCAGGAAGCGCGCCTCCAAGCACAATTCCCTCGCCTGGGTTCTCCCTCCTGACCTCACTATCAAAGTACGTTTTTTTCCCCTTTTGATTTTTTTGTTTGTTTTCTTTTTGGGAAAGTTGGATTTTGGGGGAAATCAAGCCACTTAGGTTGATTGCTTGAGTTTGATTTATTCCATTGCTTGAGTTTGATTTATTCCGTTGTTTGTTTTGGAAGATTTGCTTGATTTTTGTCAATTTTGCGCTTTGTTGATTGGTCTTGTATGTGAATTTTGCTGCGTAGAATATGGTTTTGTTCATTTTTTTTTGTTTCATTTATTTATTTATTTTTTTTAAGAATTGGCAGGCTTCATTGTGCTTGATGTTTATACGATTCCTCTAGCCGTTTGGAATGCAAGGAAATGGTGGTGGTTTACATGTTTCTAGCTTATTTTTCTTAATCTTAGCGCTTTGTTTGTCTTTTTGTTTGTATATTTGGGATACTGATACGAACTTTTGTAACTAACTCGTCGTGTTATTAGTGCATTAAACTACGTAGTGATGAGAAAATTGGATTCGGGAAATGTAAAACAACATCTATAGCATAATTATCTATGGAGCAAGGCTTTATATTTCTGTCTTCTGATATATGGATTACTGCATTATTTGGGTAATGCTACGAATGTCAATTATTTTTAGTATGCCAGACCTTTAGAATCAATGGTCTACTACTTTACATGTGAGCATTGTGGAAGGACGTAAAGCATCTCAATACGCAATTTTGTTTGGTGGCAGGTGTTTTCGATGCTTGATACACAAAGCCTGTGTTATGCAGCGGCTACTTGTTCTATGTTTAATAAGTGTGCCATGGATCCCTCATGCTATTCCAACATTGATTTAACAACAGTTGTTCCGAAAGTTAATAATGCAGTCGTATCCACAATGATCCACCGGGCAGGGAGAGCCCTTCAGTAAGAACTTTGAGCCCAAATATCTTTAATGTTAACAGATGCATTTGATTGTATTTGTCCATGGGAACCTCAATTGGTGCTTGACTAGAATTTCCGCTTTCATGAACTTCCTCTCTTTTTCTGGCCTTTTAAAGAACCTTTTCGGCAAGTGATATCTTTTTCTCACTGGGGAATTAGTTTGATTATGTATTTCTTAAATGATTATGCAGGTCTCTTAAGCTTGGTGTAGTTCAAGGCCCACACGCATCACTTGGACCTTGTCAGCCATTAGTTTATACAATCAGAAACGCTGTAGAGGTATCAAACTTCTCATGGAATGACAAGAGATCCAGACAAGGGAAAG